TCAAAACTCAGAACTTACTTCTTCAATGCTTGTGCTATGATCAGTAGACAGTTGCAATGCTGTCAATCTCATGTCATGACTGGGGACTTCATTTGCCATACCATTCCCCTTCCCAACTGCATCTATGGGTTCCTTATCTACACCCTCAACTGTCCTACTATCTCCTGTCTGAGATGAACCAACGTCTTGGATTTCATCATGTTGGGCAACAATGGCCCGACTATCTCCTAAATTCATCACGTACACATCCTCGTCTCTCATCAATACAGCCAACAAGCAGGAACCCATAAGCGCAAGCTCCGGATATTGATCCATGACCTTGTCTGTCATATCTAGATATGCAAGCTCGGTTACTTCCAAAGCCTTTGACATCGCTCTCAAGACCAACTGATGGTCTACTGGACCAGGTTTCTTCTTCCTACCACTTCTAACAACATTACCTGCCTCCTCTGTTCTGTTTTCCTCTTCTTTTTGCTCTTTGGCATCCAACCCAAATTTCCATGCAAACAATCTACTACCCTCCTTACGCTTAGCAAACCCATTTCTCAATTTGGACAACAATAATGACCTGCGACCAACTCCTGAACTGGTTTTGCTTATGCTGAGTGCATCATCCACTGAAAATGCAAACCTTTCAGAACCAGAAAGATCAAGCCCATCTTCAGGTTCTTCCTCTGCAAGGTATTCCCATAACCTTCTCCTCCTTGTCACAATTTCTTCTCCTGATTGAAACGAAACCTTCTTTACGGATCCACTCTGGTCTGAAATAGCTGCAGTCGTTGGATCTAAATAAACAGCTGTTGCTTCTTCCTCCTGTAATTGTGGTGGACAAGACTGATCCTGAGTTACATCCTCTAAATCCCAAAACAATCCCTCAAGCTCTTTATACATAGCTTTATATAAATTACCCATCAAAAATTCTGGAGCATCAGGACCGTTGAATCCATCATAAATTCCAACAAATAGCCACCCGTGTTCTTCTGATACGACCACGTGCACCCGATCCTCCCCTGCTTTCCCCAAAGCCCACTGAACGTCACTCTCATTCTTCATCTCCGACTCATCTCCCCCTCCCCCCGCCGGAGCTTCCTTCCGTCCTCCGACGAAATTCCGTACAGGAACCACCCAAGGGCGAGGGAAATTCCGATGGAATGCCTTCCGAATCCCAGGAATGGTTTTCTTTCTCTTCTTTTTGACGTAAATGCCACCGTTGAGCGGCGCCGAGAAAGGGACACCATTGCTGTTAGCTGAATCCGAACCCAAGTTCGAGTCTAACGGACCGGACAGAGCTCCACGCTCAATCGGACCAGACATAAAGAAGGCTCTCTCCATTTGACCGGACGACGCCGCCCTCGCAGAGTCTCCTCGTGGCAGAGGTTGCAGCGGAAGGGCACTAAACGAAGACGTACTTTCAAAGCCATTGACAATACTAGACTTGACCCCACCACCAACACAATCAGTGGCATCATCGTAAATATTCTCTAACTGAAGGACAGTCCGGGGAGTCGAGGTATTCGCACTTACCGAGGCACCTGAAATCGCTTTGAAAAAACTGGTCTCCGACACACCGTACGGTTGTCGCGACCGCGTTGAGGAAGATTCATGCGACGGAGAGAATCGTAGTGATTGCGAAGGAGAAACAAACCGATCGGAGTGTGTAGGGGACAGGAACCGAGCTGATGAACGAACATAACAAAAGGAGTGACCTAGGGTTTCGTCCAACGGCTCGGTAGCCGTGAAAATGAACTCCGATGAATCGCTCCGCCGTTTCTCCGCCGGATTGAAGCAGGGGAGGAGCTGCGAGAATCCACCTCCCATCACATTTGACTCACACACTCACTGTTCCTTTTTTTTCAACAAATCTTTTTGCATACACACAGTGTGTGAATCAAGAAATTTTAGAGAGAGAAAGTGTGGTTTTTAGAGAGAGAAAGTAAGCTGAAGATGTTTAAAAAATTGGTGAGAGAGAGAAGACTTTGCTTTAAATAGGAAGAAAACTGTCTTGAGAAAAACCTTTTTTAGGAGGTGATTGGGATTGCTTATTAAAATAACTTATTGACTTGTTCCGGTGTGGTACCGGTAATAAGCACTTTTGAATGTTTGGATAAACAACTTATACCGGTGTCAAACCGGTAATAAGGAGTTTTGAAGAAGTTAAACCCTTCTAACTTATAATAAGTTGATAAGTGTTTTTGTATAAAAACATAAGTTGTTTCAAATAAGCAATCCCAAACACCCCCTTAATGCTAGTTCTGTACCCGCTGTAATATAACGAGCTTGTTAAATTATTAAAATATCTACAAGTAGTATGTTTTTTCGAATGTTTGGATAAATAGTTTATACTTGTGTCAAACCGATAGTAAGGAGTTTTTGAAGAAGTTAAATCATTTTAACTTATAATAAGTTGATAAAGACTTTTGCAGAAAAGCATAAATTTTTTCAAATAAGCAATGTCAAACACCCCCCAAGACTTTACATACAATATCTAAATCAAAATAAATGCTACATTTTCTTCTCCATAGTTGTGCTACCATGTCTCGCACCTCATCTTCGTAGCAGGTAACATATGTGAAAACTCATGGATGGCCGCCAACCCTGATGTCAACTCGCTTAGAACGTTAAATTACAACAGAAAATCTCATAAGAACTACGAATTATGCAAAACAAAAAGTCTAGTGTGATGTTTCATGAAAACTACGGTTTTGTTAAAACTTACCATATGGTTTAAGAATGCCATTGACTTCAGTCATCTTTGAGCCGAGCGAACCTCAATATTCTACTGCTGACAGATCTAAAATTTGATGTAAGAAGAAGAAAGAAGCGGAAACAGATTACCAGATCTTGAAAGAAAGAACAACAGTCCAAGACCCATATAGCAAACAACAGAATAACAAAAGGGATGAGTAAGATTTTAGTCCGCCAAAACAGTATCTTATGCAACACTTTATCCAGCAAGTGCTAACCATGGTAAGAGTCGTCGTCATCACTTACCATATAAGACTTTTGGTCCAAGCCTTCGTTCTTACCAAGTAAGATTTTTGGTCCTTGTCGTATTCTTCCAGTAAGGTAATGTGACTTGGGAGCATTTACCCATGTAAACGTTTGGTAAACGACCCCTAAATTTAAGTTAATTTTCTGATGGCAAGTCAATTGGATCCAATGTGTTTGCAACAAACATGGATGTGTCAATCTAACAATAGATTTCCAGATCTTACAAATCATGCTTGTTCTGCAAGATGAGTCAGGAAAAGAGCATGACAGTGTCTCCAATTACAGGTGCATTAAAATTTTACATGAAATCTGATTTAAGATTTGAAATATATGCTCCAGTGACTTCAACGAAATCTTTGATGTCGATCATTTCATCAAGTCCCTTTATGGATGAGGTTTGCGATCGTTTTAGGCTCATACACTATCACCTCTTTGCAAGTTTTAACACGAAAAACACATCTATGTTTGTGATTCTTTGATTGCATGCTACTTTATAGCCCATTCTTCACCTGCTTTCTTCTTATAAAAGAGTGGACAACAAATTCACATGTGCATTCTTCGTTTACTTCATTGGTTTTTGGTGTTTTGGATTTTGATCAGATCTTTTAACCGGTACGTTGTTAGAACATATTGGAAATTTGGATGATTGACCACATGTTAAGTAATTACTCAATTTTAGGAGTATTGGACAATTATAAAACTGCACATTAAAAGTAGTGGACAGTTACGAAAAACTATTCATTAATGGTAATGGACAGTTATAAAACTATTCTAACCATTCCAGACATGAAGCCAGAGACAAGGTGAATCAGAGCCCCTCTGGTCTTACTAATCAGAGTCAAGTCTTAGCAATCATAAACATGAACCAGAACCCTATGGTCTTACCAACCAGAGGCAAGTCAGCAATCATAAGCAAGGAACCAAAGCTTCTAGTCCTTAAGCAAAAGAGGCAAGGCAGATCAGAGCCATAACCCATCTGGACTTTAACAACCAGAGCCTCTAGTCCTTAACAACTAGACTTAAGGCCGTTCTTAATAGCCAGAGGCAAGCCCGACCAAAGCCCCTCTTGTCCTTATGATTGTTTTTCCACCACAATGGAAGAGGTGTTGCCCCTTAACTCCCAACAGGGTCATACTCGTCTTATAACAAGTATGCACTCCGCACCTCCTGACTTGTATTAGAACACAGTATAACCCCCC